GTTTAATTCCTGGAACCCATATGAACCACCCCCCTAAATTGTTTTCTGATGTCTGCTCTCCAAATATAAAAATTTAAAAAGAAACAGGTTATCCAATCTCAAGTGGCCAGTCCTAAACACATCCATAAAAGCAACACTGTCTGTAACAGTTATAAAGAAAGAGGTCAAGTGGGGGGATATAGGAGGAATTGGAAGAGGCTGAGGAAAGTGTAGAAATGACATAAATGAAGAAAAATAAATTATTACAACAAAGTTATTAAACAAGAAGATAAGATATTTAAAATTTCAAGTTCTGAAATGAAGAAACTAGTTGTTATCCCACTGGTTGATCTTGTCATACGCAGCTCAAAAACACCAAATTCAATGTAAGACTCTCCCCTCCTTCATCAGTTTCTTCTGGAAAAGCAACAAACACAAAAAGAGAGGCCCTCAGGTTCCCTGTGGGGTGACTGAAAACTTGTTTTAAAAGTAGTAGTCAGGAGCCGGGCGGTGGTGGCGCACACCTCTAATCTCGGCACTGGGGGGGGGTAGAGGCAGGCGGAGCCGGGCGGTGGAGGCACACACCTTTAATCTCAGCACTTGGGAGGCAGAGGCAGGCGGATCTCTGCGAGTTTGCGACCAGCCTGGTCTACAAGAGCTAGTTCCAGGACAGGCTCCAAAGCCACAGAGAAACCCTGTCTTGAAAAACCAAAAACTAAAAACAAAAAAAACCAAAACCAAAAACAAAAAAAAAGTAGTAGTTACTCTTATAGGGCTCCAGTCACTACTTGTCTGTTGTCTGTGAGGCTTACTTTTTGATGTTAAGCTTGAGAAAATGACAATACAATTGAACTTTTTACTACTGACCTTGTTTTATCTGATAAGCATCTCCCCACCCCTCCAAGACAGGGATTCTCCCCTTGGTCTTGACCTTCCTGGAACTTACCAGTAGACCAGGCTGGCCTTGAATTCAGAGACCTGCCTGTCTGTCTCACAGAGGGCTGGGATCTAATGTGTGAACCGGGCTAGAAGCATTCCTTTTTAAAGCATGCAGTTTTCCTGTGTTTTCAAAGGCATTTTAGTTCAACTGCTAGTGGTACAATGTCTGCTAAATGGACAGTTAGATCCACAAGGGGCTTCCCCGGAGCTAGCTAAAACTGGTTCCAGAACAGCAAGGCACACACAGGCTTTGGAAACAGGGAGCATAATTTCACACCCGCACTCTCTTCTGGTATGGCTATGGAGCTGAGCTGACCACACTTTGTGGGAGGAGCAGCCTTTCAGATGGATAAAGGTAAAATTAACTGGCACAGGTAGTACCTCTGCACAATTTCTGGCACACAAACTACTCAATAATGTTAGTTATCACTGCTTTTTGACTAGATCCTGCGCAAGGCAAGGCCTAGGAAAGGGGAGCTGGCAGCCAGCCTCTAGTCTTGAGGACTCAGTATACCAAGTCCAAACACACAAAAGATTGTAATGTCATGTAATATTCACCAGCAGGAAGCAAGTTCAGGGATAGAGTAGGAGCTAGTGGGTCACTGCACATCACAAAATCTGCCCAAATAACCAATCCCAAAGCACTAACTAAAACCTAGTACTTGGAAGTCCCCCGAGTTTGCCATTTTGATTCTTCCTACTCTCCAACACAGGAAGAAAAGTCAATCACTATTGTCAGCCACACTCCAATCTGGCCAACAGTAGGACAATTACTAATTTTCCTGTGTGCCCAGCTTGCTTCCATTTGCAGGTACATGAAACTCACTGACCACACAATGAAACCATGACTTTAAGCAGAAATGGTGACCTGACTCACAGAAAAATCTATTTTTTCTTTTAGTATTTATATTATTTATGTATTATTAGTGCGCTGTCTGCACGTATGCCTGGGGAATCAGATCCCATTATAGATGGTTGTGAGACACCATATGTTTGCTGGGAACTAAACTTAGAAGCTCTGGAAGAGTAGCCACTGCTCTTAACCACTGAGCCATCTCTCCAGCTTGCTCTAATTCTTATACACATAAAAATAATCAAAGTGCATACAGTTCGATATTGTATCAGAGGTTATTAGGTTAAAAACAGAACAAAACCAAAAAGAAACAAACGCCTTTTTCATCTTGCCCTGCCGGTCTTGCCTATTTACACCCTGCCCTCTGTCCCTCATGCTCTCTGGGTACTGGCGGCCAGGTCAGAAGATCTCAGATTTAATCTCTAGGACACACCTGACTGTCTATGCCCAGGACCGCAGAAAGACAAGTCAGGAGCAGGGCTACATGGAATTTTGCAGAGCTGAACAAAAAGCCTCATAGGCTACAAGTTTCAACAGATAAATCCGGCCATACCTTAGGTTCTCAAATCCATGCATCAGCATATGAAATAAACCCCTTGAAATGCCACCTTCTAATTATCTCTCACTAACATTTCTTCTTCAAGCTTGAGTTTGCATGGGACTGGGGTAGTGATTCTTGTTGCTACAAGTCCTAGTTGCCAATACCTTTGCCTTTTTAAACCATCACTGATAAATCAAACAATACCACAGTTATGTCTGATAAAAACAATGATATTATAAATGATGGGCTAAGAAGTATGTGGGTTAAAACACAGAACTGTGAACATATACAACTAAAAAGAAAAATACAGGTAATTACCACAATATTATACACACATACAAAAGACATGCCAACTAAAATTTTAGATGTACTCAAGTTTTACTTAAAATAGGGGTTAAAAAACACAACACAAAACAAAAACAACAAGTCAGGCAGAAGTGGTGCATGAACACTTTCAGTCCCAACACAGCCTTTAACCTTGGGAGGTGGAGGCAGGCAGATCTCTGAGCTCAAGACCACTCAGGACTACAGAGTTCCAGGATAGCCAAGGCTACAGAGAAACCTTTATCTAGAAAAAAACAAAAACAAAAAACAAAACTTAAAACACAACACAAAATAATCTAATCAGTTTAACATAAGCAAGAAAATATTTCTGCCAAGATTTCTAAAGGAAAGAATGCCATTTTCTCTTTCTTTCTTTCTTTTCTTTTTTTTTTTTTTTTTTTTTTTTTGAGAAAAGATTTTTTTGTTGGTTTGGAGCCTGTCCTGAAACTAGCTCTTGTAGGCCAGGCTGGTCTCAAACTCACAGAGATCCACCTGCTTCTGCCTCCCTAGTGCTAGGATTTAAAGGTGTGCCACTGCCGCCAGAAGAATGCCATTTTCTATAAATTTAAACTTTCTATAAAGTCAGTTTAAATTCATTTAACCTATCAATTAAAAAAAAATAAAACCACACAGAAACCAGAAATTAAGGCTGACTCATCATTATTACCACAGTTATAATAAATCACAGGAGAAAGGCTGACCTATCACCTACTTGGCACATGCAAAATGAAACAAATAGTTTATGCCAATACAGAGGAAACAAAATCAATAAACTACTTCACATAAAAGCTATCTGGCTTCAATCTCAAACCATGCACCTCTGCAACTTTCGGAGAGCAGTTATGGGCCAAGACAACTTGGTTTGGTCTTGTCCCCTGGGACCATAGGCCTCCAGAAGTTCTCAAGGGTCAAGAGTCAAGCGAGACACTGGCAGGAAGAGACAGGGTGAGGGAGGAAAACAAGAAGCAGGACAGGACACCCGAGGAGAGGCTGCTGGTCACAAGGAAGGTGGGTGGGTGAACAGATTCCTTTTAAAACAAAGTGAAAGGTCCATGTTTATTAGATGGCTGAACAAGTTGCAAGAACTGACATAAAACGTTATAGCTCAAGTCTCTAAGGTTCTATTCCAGGATGGATCCTCAACCTCTCTCAGTTCCCCATTTACCAAGCCACAACAAAGGTTCATTTAAAGTTGTGATTAGGTGAAAGATAAAGCAACCGGCTGTGCACCAAAGAATTCGAGGCCAAACCCGGGTGTGGCAGGCACACCTTCAATCCCAGCAGTCAGGTAGCCCACACCTTTAATTTCTGGCAGAGGCAGGCAGATCTGGGTGAGTTTGAGGACAGCCTGGTGTACAAAGCTGGCTCTGTCTGGAGAGTGAATTCAAGGCCAGCCTCAGTTACACAGGGAGTAACTGAGGCTAATCTGGGCTACTTGAAACCCTGTCTACAAACAAACAAACAAACACCAAAAATAAGTAAATTTGAAGGAGTAAGTGGGGAGGAGGGGACGGTGTGACAGCGTAAAGTCACCTGGGACTCACCTGGTTAAGAATCAACTCTTGACAAGTCCTTTAACCTCGATCTATGTAGGGTCACGTACACACCCACACTCAAACACACAATATAAGCAAATAAAATCAGAGAAAAGTGTGTGCTTGAAATCCCAGCACTTGGGCAGGATGGGGCAGACAGGATTGCCTTGGAGTTCAAGGCCTGGGCTACAGCACCAAGAACTTTTTTTCTCAACCAAACAAACTCAAACCAAACTAAAACAAAAATTCAGAACGCAGTCTGGGGAAGTGACTTTGAAAGAGCAGTGGCAAGAGAAAACACTGAGCAGTGGAAGCCCACCACTGCAAAGCGTCAGGAGGCCTCAGGACCAAGTAAGTCCCTCTTGCTCAAGACCAGTGTCTATCTGGCCCGAGACGCGAACCAGCAGATTGGCACACCTAGGCCCACTGGGGAGAGTACCCGGAGCACACAGTGTCTCAGAGTCTGGGCTCACACCAAAGGGGCCCAGAGACCAATAACCCTGCATGGATCTTCTTTTCCCTGTACAAGCGTCAAGGAGAACAGAGTCCATGGTCCCCTTTTAGGACTACATGGGCCCCTACATCAGTGTCTGAGACCTGATTTACCCCACAGGGCCTCAAGACTAAGGGTCATTACCCCCTCTCCCCGCAATGGGCCTCATCTCATCCTATAGCACCAACTCCTAGCTCAATCTCAGTGTCTACAGACCTGTCTCCCTACACTCTCGGGGGACCTGCAATCAAGACAGTTGTACACCCTAGACTCCAGAGACCTGTGGTCACAAGCCTACCTTACCCCGCATGGCTTGATCTGTGTCTCCCGCCTTACCTCGTCGGATTCCGCACAGCCTTCCGAGGCTGGCCTCCACGGCCATCTGCCCACTGACCCCCGAGGCCGGCGTCCATGGCCATCTCCCCACAGCCTCCCGAGACTAGCGTCCAGTGCCGTCTCCCCAACAGACCCGCGAGGCGGGCCTCCAATGCAGTCTCTCCCCACGCAGGCGTCCCTAGCCGGCTCCCCACGGCCGCCCCTCCCTCTCTTCTGCCGCCGGCCGGCCGAGGGTCTCCCAGGACAGCGCCGGCCAGGCGGGCAAAGGCCGCCGCATCCGGGCCGGCGGCCGAGAGTGACCTTGCGCCCGGGTCTCGGTCGGACCTCACCTTCCGCCACGTCCTCGTCGACAGCGCCCTTCACTTGCGAGAAGCACCACTGGAAGTCGTTGCCGCCCGCCGGGCAGCCGCCTCCTCCGGCTCCTGCAACAGAGCGCGCCCGTCAGGCCGGCCCCGCCCCGT